AGCCTTTCAAAACCATCACTTTACCCTACATTGCTGGGATCACAAAAAAGATCTCCAAAATCTTGAATAAACACAAGATCCAGGTCCGTTTCAACACATTACATAAAATCCGTGATCTGGTTCCGTCTGTAAAAGATGTGATTCCGGACATACAATACCCTGGTGTCTACAAACTAAGTTGCCTCTGTGGTAGTAGTTACATTGGAGAAACCAAACGCCATATCTCGGACCGCATTCGTGAACATAAAGCAGACCTTAAACACGGTAGGACCAACACCTCGGCCGTAGCAGATCATTGTTCTAATTCAGTAGGCTCACATGCCATTGACTTTTCCAAGACGGAGGTTCTTTGTAAGCCATCTGGCTTCCATGAGAGATTCGTTCATGAGGCTATCCACATATACAAACACAGAGACAATTTCAACCGAGAAGATGGATTTTATCTTAGCAATCATTGGAAAGATTTGATAAATCATTTCAGTTCTTGATTGATTGTTCACGCTTACAGTGGCTTTCAGACAGCATACATAAAAACAAATTTCGTCTCCCCCCTCCTCTTTTCAAAAAATAGATGGACTAGTCCTGGCAAACAGCCAATCGTTGCGCGTGACGCAAACGTTATTTTTATATATATAAATAAATAACTATGCCGTTTTCAAAATAAATGTATGCAAACCGACACACCTGATGATGACCGTTTGATTTATGGTCGAAACGTCGTGAGAAATTTTTTTATTGTTTTATATATATTTTGTTATTTTGTTGTTTCTCTTCAACGTGACTTTACCGAAAAAACTAAGAATATGAATTACTGCAGTCACGAAAGCTTTAAATCAAAATTTAATCGCCTCTACGGGGAGGGTTTTCACATAACTTTAAGATCCTTCAACAAACTCCGGGATAAGAAAGCTCAGCTGATCGAGTCTCTCACCTTCCTGAAGAGATGCCGCGACTCTGGGGTAATACCAATCGCATTTACACTCACCTCTGCTACTGTAACTTCTTCTAATGCGAAACGAATTCTTTTCAAAACTAGCTTAGCTCTTATCTCAGAAAAAATCAGACTTATACGCACAGAACTAGATCAGTTAGACAAGACACTCTACAAATCACACTTATCATTGACGGCAATAATGTCCACATCGGATTGGGAACATGTAGACAATATGACTGCCTCTTCAGCTGCTACTATGTCGACCAAATGTAAGGAAAACCTGATTTCCAAATTTAACCTCCTCTTCAACAAAAGACCGGACCCACACACCAAAAAGTTAGACGTTAATAAAGTCGTAATTAATCGCAGTAACAGTTCTATTTCCGATGGTCTGAAATCCGTTTTAGCTAAAGGTCTAAACTTTGCAGTCACACCTAAACACATACCAGTTAATGATATAATTGCCCAAGTAGACGTTGCTCTCAGGGGCCTGGGTCACATCGCTGCAGACGTAGCAAGATCTGAAATCGCTGCAACCCTCAAAAACGCTAAGATGCCAGCTAGCAACCTCAGCAAAGATGAGCGTTTTGAATTATATAAATTAAAAAAGAGGAATGATATTGTAGTTCTCTCAGCTGACAAAGGCAATGCTACTGTTATCATGGATAAAATAGAATACAACAACAAAATTAAAGAATTACTCGACGATGGTAGTTATACAAAAATAAAAAGAGATCCCACCAACAGCCTCGTCACACAAACCAACAAAATAATTTCTGATTCAACCGCATTAATTGATCAATCTAAACAGTTTTCGTTGAAACCTTCTGCTGCCAGGCCACCAAGATTATACGGCTTACCAAAAATACATAAAGTTGATACACCTCTTCGTCCCATAGTTTCTACTATCAGCTCCCCCACCTACAAACTAGCTCGTTTTTTGTCTGAAATCCTGCGTCCTTTCACTGGAAAGACCACCTCTGCGGTACAAAATTCTACTCACCTGGTATCAACAATCAAGGGTATTTCCCTGTCCCCAGACGACCTGCTTGTCAGTTTTGATGTAGTTTCCTTATTCACCAAGGTTCCTGTACCTGACACCATTGCAATCATTGAAGACTTGGTTCATCAAGGACTAAACACTGAGGTACCCCCCCTGGTGAGACACTGTTTAACCAATACATACTTCACTTGGAATGGAACTTTCTACAAACAAACTGAGGGCACCCCAATGGGCTCCCCCCTTTCTCCAGTTATAGCTAACATTTTCATGGAGAAATTTGAGACTGACGCCATCCAGACTGCCACTCTGCGCCCAACCTTATGGAAGAGGTACGTGGATGACACTTTTGTCATCTGGCCACATGGCCGGCCTGCTCTAGACCAATTCTTCGACCACATCAATTCCATACACCCAGCCATCAGATTTACCATGGAAGTCGAAATAGATGGCAAGATACCTTTTTTGGATGTCCTAATTAAAAAGAGACCTGATGGTTCAATGAGCCACTCTGTCTACAGGAAAGCTACCCATACGGATGCTTATCTGAAACCGGATTCCCACCACCATCCATCACAGAAGAATTCTCTCATCAAGACTCTGTATCATAGAGCCCAATGCATATCCGACCAGGAACACATAAGCAGTGAACTCAAGCACGTACACCAAGCTCTTAGGGCTAATGGTTACTCCGACTATACAATCCGCAAAGCTATCACTCAAACCATGAAGAAGAACCCTCTTGAGGAGCCTTTCAAAACCATCACTTTACCCTACATTGCTGGGATCACAAAAAAGATCTCCAAAATCTTGAATAAACACAAGATCCAGGTCCGTTTCAACACATTACATAAAATCCGTGATCTGGTTCCGTCTGTAAAAGATGTGATTCCGGACATACAATACCCTGGTGTCTACAAACTAAGTTGCCTCTGTGGTAGTAGTTACATTGGAGAAACCAAACGCCATATCTCGGACCGCATTCGTGAACATAAAGCAGACCTTAAACACGGTAGGACCAACACCTCGGCCGTAGCAGATCATTGTTCTAATTCAGTAGGCTCACATGCCATTGACTTTTCCAAGACGGAGGTTCTTTGTAAGCCATCTGGCTTCCATGAGAGATTCGTTCATGAGGCTATCCACATATACAAACACAGAGACAATTTCAACCGAGAAGATGGATTTTATCTTAGCAATCATTGGAAAGATTTGATAAATCATTTCAGTTCTTGATTGATTGTTCACGCTTACAGTGGCTTTCAGACAGCATACATAAAAACAAATTTCGTCTCCCCCCTCCTCTTTTCAAAAAATAGATGGACTAGTCCTGGCAAACAGCCAATCGTTGCGCGTGACGCAAACGTTATTTTTATATATATAAATAAATAACTATGCCGTTTTCAAAATAAATTTATGCAAACCGACACACCTGATGATGACCGTTTGAGTTATGGTCGAAACGTCGTGAGAAATTTTTTTATTGTTTTATATATATTTTGTTATTTTGTTGTTTCTCTTCAACGTGACTTTACCGAAAAAACTAAGAACACTAATTTTGATTAATTTTCATTATTAATTAACTATTTGATTATTTAAATGTACTCAGGTCACCTTTTATTTATTCTATGAAGGAGCATTTTGCTTCTCCATGAGAGAATGGAGAAGCATACATTTTGAACATTTTTTGTTAATGATTGTTACTAAACATTTTGATTCTAATGATTCTACCAGGGCTTTTCATTTTGTGAATTAATATATGATTGTTATAATTGTACTCTCCATTTTGCTTCGTTCTACTACAAAGTTTCAAGTATTTTTTTCTAGTTATATTTACTTTTAATATTTTATAATTATAAGATAATTTCAATATAATATTCCGAACATCTGCAGTTGTAGTTAGACGTTGAATATTTTAAAGTAAATTTTATGCTAAATTTAAGCTTTCCAACGCCTCCTTTTTAATAAATGTTTTCTCCTACAACAGAATGCAGCGCCACATTAAATACGCACTACAATGACAATTGTTTAAAGCGATTTGAAGCATGTTTTATTTTCAAAATGGGAATATGGTTTTGGGGGGGGGGGTGGGGCAGAGCTCTGTGACGTCATATTTGAGGGGGGGTCTGAATTTTTGTGACGCCGTGTGACGAGGGGGGTCAAAAATCGTCCAAAATCGCGTGACGTCATTTATGGACGGCCTGTAAATAAAACCAAGCAGGTTCCACACACATAGCCCCTAAGACTTATTCTCAGTTTATATTTTATATTTCTGCAATCATTTTAAAATGGTCAAACGTTTCAAGCATCTTATATGCTTCCTGGAGAGAGTTATAATGTTTATCCAGATCTATTAGACCTTCCATGATAGCTATTCATGATTTCTAGATTACCCACACCGTATGTATGTAGAGGCTGTGATTAGCAACACACATGTCAGCGTCCTGCAGCGCTGCACCAGGGCAAAGCGCAGCTGTGCAGCGGCGTCGCGTCTCTTTTGACACGACGCGTCTGGCACCGCCTGGCAGAGTCCGGCACCGCTTGGCACACAGCGTAGCAGGGCCCTGCCCCGCTCACCACGCAGCCCTCGCCGCACTCTCACCGGCGCAGGCGGCGGCACCGCTCGCGGTCTCCGCGTCGAGTGAAGCTCCCCGCCGTAGGCACCGGCGAGAGTCCACGCACGGTGGCTGGGCAGCCCCTGCGGGGCCCTCCGGGAGCGGCGTGGAGAGCGCCGTGCGGCTGAGAGGGCAGCCAGCTCACAGCGGCAGCGAGCGGCTCCTCTAATGGGGACTGCTGCAGCCGCACAGTCTCACTAAGAGATCCTTTACTCACGACTCGCAGAGAGCACTGAGCTAGACACGTGGACCAGTGAGTCACCCTGTGACTCATCTCTGTCTCCCATGGATCACTGAGACACAGGGTGACTCAACTTGGTCTTCCATGGATCACTGAGACACAGGGTGACTCATCTCTGTCTCCCATGGATTAGTGAGTCACTCTGTGTCTCATCTCTGTCTCCCATGGCTCACTAAGACACAGGGTGACTTATCTCTGCTCTGCTTCTAGACGGAGGGGGCGAGCTCAAGTCTGGACAAGAAGGTGCTGGAGGAGATCATCCCGAAGGTGAGGCCTAGCCAGGGAGACCTGGGAGTGCACAGTTTACAACATTCATTCACTTAGCACGTGCATAACGTTCATAGAATACATGAATACAAACTGCACATGTTATACACTCTGCTCGTAACGATGCCCATTTCACAACGGCCAGCCTGAGTAGGTGAATGCCATGAGCAAGCACCTATGAAGGTCAGTGCAGCATGGAGTCTGGCGGAGCCTGCGTCTTGCTCGCCGGCTCTTGCGCTGCATGGGCAGAGCCGTACGCGGTGCCCACTGTAGGAAGGCTCGCGTCAGAATCCGTGCAGCCCCCTGGTGTTGTCCATGCCGGGGAACAGGAGCTGTGTGGACGGCCATCCCACTGCTCACTGCTGCATCCCTCGGGGTCTCTGCCCAAGTGCAGCTCCATGGCTCAGGCTCCCTCCCTCCACCCCCCCTGCTCCCACTCCACCTCTTCACCCCACAGCACCGCACTATTTACCGGGGCTCTTGAGCCATGACGAGGGAGGCGTGGGTCACGTGGGCTCCCATTGTCTCCCTCCACCGTGTGATATCAGCGACACATCACCAATACCTCAGCATCAGGTCAACAATGCTGATGTCAAGTCTAGAACAATCCCAATCTGACAAATGTATTGAGTGCAAAATTAATGTCAGAATTAACGTAAAGAGAAAATAACGTTGCAAAGGAACAGAAATATGACGAGGGAGTGCGGATGTGAAAACATGGCAATGGCAAAACAACGCAGCGAAGAGAGAACAATACAAATGTTGAGCTGCAGGAGAGTGCGGACGTTCAGAGCGTAACGGACGTTGATTGAAGACGCCGCCGTGGAGAGCAGGCGCTTGACCAAGGCCATCGCTGTGGCCGAGCGGGGGCGGATCGCAGGGGATGGCAGCGCGCTGGCCCGAGACTCGGCCCAAAACCATGGCTCTGTGGGGCCCGCGGCTATGGCCCACAGCGACGCTGTGAAAGCTGGGAGCTCCTCCAGAGCGATCTGAAGAGGAGACGTCAGCGTGCACCACCAGACCCTTCCACCTTTTCCAGTGCACAGCAGTGGATCCAACACTAAGGAGTCCCAGGGCCAGTCGTAGAAACGCATCGTGATGCCGTGGTGCTGCATGAACATCGTGATTGCCGTGTAGCTGTAGTGTACTTGTGTCACTGCTGTAGTGATGCACTCTGTGTCAGTGTGCATGAGTCACTGCTGTAGTGATGCACTCTGTCTAGTGTGCATGAGTCACTGCTGTAGTGATGCACTCTGTGTCAGTGTGCATGAGTCACTGCTGTAGCCATGCACTCTGTGTCAGTGTGCATGAGTCACTGCTGTAGTGATGCACTCTGTGTGAGTGTGCATGATTCACTGCTGTAGTGATGCACTCTGTTTGAGTGTGCATGAGTCACTGCTGTAGTGATGCACTCTGTCTAGTGTGCATGAGTCACTGCTGTAGTGATGCACTCTGTCTCAGTGTGCATGAGTCACTGCTGTAGTGATGCACTCTGTGTCAGTGTGCATGAGTCATTGCTGTAGTGATGCACTCTATCTAGTGTGCATGAGTCTCTCTCACTCTGCTCTCGCTGTGTTGTTCCGCTGTACAGCTCAGGGAGAAGCTGAAGGTGGAGGTGGAGAAACGAGGTGAGGAGTATTCCCATCATGCCCTGCCCCCACCTCACCATTAACACTCACCCTGCACACCTCACTGTGAACTCTGACCCTGCACACCTCACTGTGAACTCTGACCCTGCACACCTCACTGTGAACTCTGACCCAGCACACCTCACTGTGAACTCTGACCCTGCACACCTCACCATTAACACTCACCCTGCACACCTCACTGTGAACTCTGACCCTGCACACCTCACTGTGAACTCTGACCCAGCACACCTCACCATTAACACTCACCCTGCACACCTCACTGTGAACTCTGAGCCAGCACACCTCACTGTGAACTCTGACCCAGCACACCTCACCATTAACACTCACCCTGCACACCTCACTGTGAACTCTGACCCTGCACACCTCACTGTGAACTCTGACCCTGCACACCTCACTGTGAACTCTGACCCTGCACACCTCACTGTGAACTCTGACCCTACACACCTCACTGTGAACTCTGACCCTTCACACCTCACTGTGAACTAGTGGCCGACCGAAATTCGGTTTTGGCGCCGAAAGTTGTCAAATGGCCTCTTTCGGCATACTTTCGGTTTCGGCCGCAAAGTAAATTTTTACTTTCCTTCTGGTTTAGGTTTCGGCCGAAACTGATATTGACTTTCTGTCGTCAACCGAAGATCTATTTTTAGAATATAATGCTAGTGCTACGCCTATTGGCCGGTCAGTCAGCGCTAGGCAGTCCTATTCGATAGGCTGCACACACACACACGTATACAAACACACACACACGTACACACAAACACACACACGTACACACAAACACAAACGTATACACAAACACACACGTACACACAAACACACACGTACACATACACACACACGTACACACAAACACACACACGTACACACAAACACACACACGTACACACAAACACACACACACGTACACACAAACATACACACACGTACACACATACACACACACGTACACACAAACACGCACACGTCAGCAGCAGCAGCTTGGGAGCGAGGTTACAGCCGCAACCATGGGCTGCTAATGTCTATACGACCGGTCAACAGACGGCAGCCTATCTGGCTGAATGCAGAAAAACTTGTTTCTTAACTACAACATTCGTTTGTTTGGATATAATTACTAAGTAAGTAACACCGAAAGATTTCATATTTAGCGACTCTTACTGCAGGCTCTGAATGATTAGTTCTAGATTTAGTTTTAATTAAAGTAGCATTGCATCATGACATTTAATAAATCTTGTGTTTGGTAACTTCGGTTATACAGTGAGGGAAAAAAGTATGTGATCCCCTGCTGATTTTGTACGTTTGCCCACTGACATAGAAATGATCAGTCTATAATTTTAATGGTAGGTTTATTTGAACAGTGAGAGACAGAATAACAACAAAATCCAGAAAAACGCATATCAAAAATGTTATAAATTGAGTTGCATTTTAATGAGGGAAATAAGTATTTGACCCCCTCTCAATCAGAAAGATTTCTGGCTCCCAGGTGTCTTATACAGGTAACGAGCTGAGATTAGGAGCACACTCTTAAAGGGAGTGCTCCTAATCTCAGATTGTTACCTGTATAAAAGACACCTGTCCACAGAAGCAATCAATCAATCAGTTTCCAAGCTCTCCACCATGGCCAAGACCAAAGAGCTCTCCAAGGATGTCAGGGACAAGATTGTAAACCTACACAAGGCTGGAATGGGCTACAAGACCATTGCCAAGCAGCTTGGTGAGAAGGTGACAACAGTTGGTGCCATTAGTCGCAAATGGAAGAAACACAAAAGAACTGTCAATCTCCCTCGGCCTGGGGCTCCATGCAAGATCTCACCTCGTGGAGTTGCAATGATCATGAGAACGGTAAGGAATCAGCCCAGAACTACACGGGAGGATCTTGTCAATGATCTCAAGGCAGCTGGGACCATAGTCACCAAGAAAACAATTGGTAACACACTACGCCGTGAAGGACTGAAATCCTGCAACGCCCGCAAGGTCCCCCTGCTCAAGAAAGCACATATACATGCCCGTCTGAAGTTTGCCAATGAACATCTGAATGATTCAGAGGACAACTGGGTGAAAGTGTTGTGGTCAGATGAGACCAAAATGGAGCTCTTTGGCATCAACTCGCCGTGTTTGGAGGAGGAGGAATGCTGCCTATGACCCCAAGAACACCATCCCCACCGTCAAACATGGAGGTGGAAACATTATGCTTTGGGGGTGTTTTTCTGCTAAGGGGACAGGACAACTTCACTGCATCAAAGGGACGATGGACAGGGCCATGTACCGTCAAATGTTGAGTGAGAACCTCCTTCCCTCAGCCAGCGCATTGAAAATGGGTCGTGGATGGGTATTCCAGCGTGACAATGACCCAAAACACACGGCCAAGGCAACAAAGGAGTGGCTCAAGAAGAAGCACATTAAGGTCCTGGAGTGGCCTAGCCAGTCTCTAGACCTTAATCCCATAGAAAATCTGTGGAGGGAGCTGAAGGTTCGAGTTGCCAAACGTCAGCCTCGAAACCTTAATGACTTGGAGAAGATCTGCAAAGAGGAGTGGGACAAAATCCCTCCTGAGATGTGTGCAAACCTGGTGACCAACTACAAGAAACGTCTGACCTCTGTGATTGCCAACAAGGGTTTTTCCACCAAGTACTAAGTCATGTTTTGCAGAGGGGTCAAATACTTATTTCCTTCATTAAAATGCAAATCAATTGATAAAAAAAATTTACATGCGTTTTTCTGGATTTTTTTGTTGTTATTCTGTCTCTCACTGTTCAAATAAACCTACCATTAAAATTATAGACTGATAATTTCTTTGTCAGTGGGCAAATGTACAAAATCAGCAGGGGATCACTGCAAAATCAACAGGGGATCAAATACTTTTTTCCCTCACTGCATACCTTTCTGTTTGGGTCTCGGCCGAAAGTGGAGTTAAACTTTCGGTTTCGGCTTCAGTTTCGGCCGAAAGTAAATGTTTAACTTTTGGTCTGGTTTCCCTTTCGGCTGAAACCAGAAATTCAGTTTCGGTCGGCCACTACTGTGAACTCTCACCCTGTTCTCTTCACAGTAAACACTCAGTGTGCATGCACTCTGAGTGTGGTGTGTGTGCTGTGTGTTCTGGGCGCGTGCTGGGTGTGGTGTGCGTGCTGTGTGTGGTGTGCGTGCTGTGTGTGGTGTACACGTGGTGTGTGGTGTGTGTGCTGTGTGTGGTGTGCACGTGGTGTGTGTGGTGTGTGTGCTGTGTGTGGTGTGCACGCTGTGTGTGGTGTGCACGCTGTGTGTGGTGTGCGTGCTGTGTGTGGTGTGCACGTGGTGTGTGTGCTGTGTGTGGTGTGTGTGCTGTGTGTGGTGTGCACGTGGTGTGTGGTGTGCGTGCTGTGTGTGGTGTGCGTGCTGTGTGTGGTGCGTGCTGTGTATGGTGTGCACGCTGTGTATGGTGTTCACGCAGTGTGTGGTGTCCACGCTGTGTGTGGTGTACGTGCTGTGTATGGTGTGCACGCTGTGTGTTGTGCACGCTGTGTGTGGTGTGCACGCTGTGTGTGGTGTATGCGCTGTGTGTGGTGTGCACGCTGTGTGTGCTGTGTGGTGTTCACGCTGTGTGTGGTGTTCACGCTGTGTGTGGTGTTCACGCTGTGTGTGGTGTTCACGCTGTGTATGGTGTGCACGCTGTGTGTGGTGTGCACGCTGTGTATGGTGTGCACGCTGTGTGTGGTGTGCACGCTGTGTGCGTGCTGTGTATGGTGTTCACGCTGTGTGTGCTGTGTGTGGTGTTCACGCTGTGTGTGGTGTTCACGCTGTGTGTGGTGTACATGCTGTGTGTGGTGTGTGTGGTGTTTACGCTGTGTGTGGTGTGCACGCTGTGTGCGTGCTGTGTGTGGTGTTCACGCTGTGTTGTGCACGCTGTGTGTGCTGTGTGTGGTGTGTGTGGTGTTCACGCTGTGTGTGGTGTGCGTGCTGTGTGTGGTGTGCACGCTGTGTGTGGTGTACACGCTGTGTGTGGTGTTCACGCTGTGTATGGTGTACACGCTGTGTGTGGTGTTCACGCTGTGTATGGTGTTCACGCTGTGTGTGGTGTGCACGCTGTGTGCGTGCTGTGTATGGTGTTCACGCTGTGTGCGTGCTGTGTATGGTGTTCACGCTGTGTGTGGTGCACGCTGTGTGTGGTGTGCACGCTGTGTGCGGGTGTATGCGCTGTGTGTGCGTGCTGTGCGTCCTGTGCTGTGTGCGTGCAGTGCGTTAATTAATTTTAACCACTCTCCCGAAGGCCCCCATCCTCACCGTTTAATGTCTATAAAATGTTAATGATCAAATTAAATATCACCAGCATCATTTTAGAATATTTTTGATGCACCCAACATTACATCGCATCTTGAAGTGTCTGCGAAATTGTTTAATACCCACAGAGCAATCCACGCAGCAACAGCCAACACTGCACATTGAGAAACAATTATTACACAGCGCAGCACACAACGCCAGTCCAGTTGTAGTCACTCTTGATGCAACGAGCTTCCTCCTACAGTACAACAGTGCTCTCAGTTACACTCCCCTCAGTTACAATCCCCTCAGTTACAATCCCCTCGGTTACAATCTCCTCAGTTACAATCTCGTCAGTTACAATCCCCTCAGTTACAATCCCCTCAGTTACAATCTCCTCAGTTACAATCTCGTCAGTTACAATCCTCTCAGTTACAATTCCCTCAGTTACACTCCCCTCAGTTACAATCCCCTCAGTTACACTCCCCTCAGTTACACTCCCCTCAGTTACAATCCCCTCAGTTACAATCTCCTCAGTTACAATCCCCTCAGTTACAACTCAGTTACAATCCCCTCAGTTACAGACCCCTCAGTTACAACTCAGTTACAATCCCCTCAGTTACAGTCCCCTCAGTTACAATCCCCTCAGTTACAATCCCCTCAGTTACAACTCAGTTACAATCCCCTCAGTTACAATCCCCTCAGTTACAATAATCTCAGTTACAATCCCCTCAGTTACAATCCCCTCA